CAACCACTATGTGGCGTCAAATCAACGGCCGTTCACTTCCATCATCCCGCATAACCGCCCAACTGGATTTAGAAATTCCATTGTTCATGCTCTATACTTTACGTATTTTTTATTCACACTTTAGGAAATTTGTTTTATTAAAGTTGTCCACACGAATTTTGTGTGGGGTAAGAAGAGCGCTTTGGAATAATATGGAGGAAAATTTTGATTATTTACCATGCCTATATATCGAATGATGGAGTGAATGATCGACCCCAAACAATGGATGAATAATGTACGGATTAGGACCTCGTTATTCATAAGCCATACCTTCACATTGTTGAGTTTAAATATTTGTTATTAAAAAAACATAAAAGTATAATGGAATGACTCTTAATGGATCTTCAAATAGGCAACAAGATGGAGGAGTTAAGAGGGTGATTTTTATTTTGTTTTGTGTTTTTGGTGTGTTTTCTTGAGCGTTGCATTTTTTGCGTCATATTCAAAAAAATTTTCCTTATTATTCTATAGGTCCGGAGAAAACCTTATTCTGAATAAATGATGTAATTATCAGGTGAGTACACACGTGATATAAAGATGATTGCGTCTTGATTATCTGACCCGTGATAATGAAGATAAATATTAGCATATTTGGATTGATCATACGTTCGCAAGAAAGGCAACCTTAATCAATTATGACCTGTATGTACAAATTCGCGTCATAATTTTATCAGCATACAGACAATACGGCATGGTACTTTATGGGGTTATTGAAGGTTCGTCTGACGTATGTATATTCCTGGAGTGGAAAAAAAAAAAAAAAAAAAAAAAAAAAAAACTCCGCGGCGGGTGCATAATAAATAAAGAAACGTAAAACAAATATCAAAAAATATAAAGATTTACGGGGTGTGTGTGTGTTTTTAATTGCATGCAATCAGTACGTTTACAGTTTACAAAAAAAAAATTCATCATTTTATTTTATCGACATCTTTTTTCTCATAGATATGTATGATAAAAAAAATAATCTCAAAAAAAATAGATAATGATTGTTCCGTTTCCCATGGAAATGCCACGGATAACTATTGTTCTGTTGATACTCTTTGTCTGTCACATAAAGAGTTCGGCTCGCCAAGAATGTCACCAACTTATGCAAGACAATATCAACGGTTTCTTGTTTCACGATGACGAAATCGGCGTTAAAATTACAATTTCCCGTTTCAACTTTATTCATTATAAGATAAATTATCTCAACTGGTAATTTCTTCGAATGAGGAATCTTTGTTAACCAAAAATTGATTTATTGTGATATTATTGGCCAGATTGACAATAGTTAACTTTCTAGAATATATTTTTATTATATAAATTGAGTTATTGGTGAACATCTCATTGTCGTACAACCCAACATTCAAAACGTGTCAAGGATGATTTTATCACCTTTCTTTAAAGGAACTGCTAGTTTCTTTACTTTAGTGCATGTATGCATTAGATTGCATTATAGGTTAACTTGAAAATCTCAACTTACCTAGATCTTTAAAGTATGTCATAAAAACATTTATCTCAAACGAATAGGAATTTCGTGATTTAAGATAAAGTATAATATTTAAAAAAATTCTGATAAAAAAAAAGATGCATTGTTGATCAATTGATAGGAGAGGAGACTTTTTGATTTCAACTTTTTTTTTTGACAATATGATTACAAGAATGCAAAAAAATATGCATCATGACTCGGTGAATATATATATTTATATAAAGATCATCACATGGTTATTATTACACTGATAATTTTTTTTTGATTTCAAAAAGGTTATACCTTATTTGTCAAATAATTTTTTTTTTTCACTTTTTTTCCCTCTATTTATTCTCTATTTATTTATCATCAATAAAGTTTTTATTTGATAAAGGAAATTTGTTAAGTGGGGGGGGGGGGGGGGTCAAAAAAATAATTTATTTATTTTTTTAAAACAAAGAATTTTAAACTAGGTAAAAAAAATTTTTTTTTGTTTAAGGAAATTATTCAAGATTATCATAGACATTTGCGAATTTTCATTTGTTGATTTTTTTTTCTTGCATAATTGGGAAAATCATTAATGAACATTTTCCCTTTTTCCTACAAATAAAAAACGTTAAAATTTTCTTATTCAACGACTAAAATTGAATGTTTTCGTCACATTTCATTTCTTGGAGTTTATCTTCCGAATCTGTTGCAATGTTTTTTTTTTATCTTATCAATGAATGGTGGTGAAAGCTCTCTTTGAAAAGATAAGGAAAGGAGGGCGTAAAGATGCCAATGCACGGAGTGAAAATTTTTATTTTTTCTTTTGATAGGAAATGATGTGATAGCCATATGGGCATGAGAACATTTAAAAATAAAAAATAGCATGAGAAATGTGGTAAATCGCACATTAACAATTCGATATTCTTTGTAGTTGCGAAAATTGAACTAGTTTAGGATACTTTATTTTAAAAATCGATTAATAAAGAAACTCAACAACATATTTTTCTTCAAAAATATATATATATACGGTACATGCGTAATAATGCCATGCATACGCCCACGATGTAAAAGCAATTGCATTTGATTTTCAATAAAAAAAAAATTACCTAATCTTGGTATAATTTTATAATTATCTTTTTTTTTTTTTAAAAAAAAAAACGGAGCAAATATAGCAGGTATCGTACAATGAATGACCATATTCAGAAGAGGCCAATTCCGTTTTTGATAAAATCCTGACATCTTTTTTGTGTGCCTAAAAAAAAAAAATAATAATAAACCCTTCACATTGAATTCTTTCACGGATATAAATTAAAATTCGTTCCCGTACCCTTTTTTTTTTGTACCCTTTTTTTATGTTTCCTCGCATCCGTTGCGAGGCTATATACTTTGCTCTCTTCCAGTCCTGGTAGGAATCAAAAAAAAAACGAGTTATAATGATAAACAAGAATTTACGCGGTTTGAATGCATGGTTTCTTTTTCCTGGTCACATGAGCAATGAGCATCTCATCCGACCAATCAGGTTCAACGTTAAAAAAAAAGCCGTCATATTCATTAAAAATCGACGAACTTAGTAACAAACAATTGTGATTCCAACATAGCTTAACTAATCGTGTTTAAAAAAAAAAAATAAATAAATAAAAAATCAAAACAAACAAGTTGACAAATCTGGCTCAAAAAAAAAAAACGTATTGGCTTGGCCACTTTGCCCTTGATGACATGCGATCGGATCATATGATTTCTATGAGGTCTCGTTTTTAATTACATTTTTCCTAAAATCCCCAAAAATCTCAGTTAGGTGTGGGTGTACCGAAATGATAACACAAACAAACATTGAAAATTTGACAGATTTTTAAACATGGGTGTCTCAGCCACAGATATTTCGTCATTTATTCATTCAGGATGTGCATTTTTTTGAATTTTTTTTTTTTTTTCAAAAATTAATTGAAGGTTAAAAACATACTTTATACATGACCTAATGAGCATGAATGTAGAAAGAAAATCTTTAATTTTTTTTTAATATCAAGAGATATCATTAATACATACATAAAAGAAAGAGAGTTACGAAATAAAGTGATTATTAAAATTAAATATAAGAACAAGGTGAGAACAAAGGTGAGAACAAGGGAGAACAAGGTGAACATTCAGACCAAAACGAATTTTTAAAATTGCAATCTTAACCGCTGTTGCATCTTTGCTTTATCATTAGAAATTATTTTTTATTAAACGAGTTCTTTTTTTTTTGTTCAAAATGCGAGGAAAAACATGAGAGAAGCCGTTCAAAAAAAAATCCCAAAAACAAAATTAATTCAAAGAAAAAAGGGAATTCGCGTTAAAACAACAACGACCTTTTAATTATGATGAACATTATACATGCCCTGCGGTACCACTAATCTATTCATTGTATGCTATTATTTATTACGTTCGTGTCTAATAAAATATAAATACGAAAATTTTTTTTTTGTTAAAAATATTAGTTTATGGAATAGCTTTCGCTCAACGTTAAACTCATCTGCATTATATGCTGGTTATTATATTCTATTAAGAATATTATTGGTTCCCTCGTTTCTAAATTTTTTAATAATCTTCAAGAAATGTTCTAGGGGAGTAAATAAACGAAATATGGAACTTGGGCCCATAAATAGAATCCCTTATGTTGCCGAAAATAAATTTTCGAGGCGGGTTTACCTAATGAGTGATGAATAAAGAAATATTAGAATATTAGGTGATTATCGATTTTTTTGTCATATAGAAAATTAAAGCAGTTAACCGACCGATAATTTATTTCATTATTTATTTTATTTTGGGATTTAAAATAAAAATATACATATAATAATGTGATGTACAATATATATATTTTTTTTATGTTACTTGTTTAAAAAATGAAAATCATTTTTTTTAATCATTTTTTTATTTGAGTACATTAAAATTAATAAATATATAAGGGGGTGTTGAAAAAAAAAAAAAAAAAGGAAAAAAATTTTTTTCCAATTTTATAAAAAAAAAAAATCCATCTTTTTTTTAAAAAAAAAAAATTTCATCATCATCTTGACATTATTTAATAAATTTTTTTTTGTTTTAAAAAACAAATTAACAAAAGAAAAAAATTCCCATACGAAAAATTCAAAACAATGTCAACTGTTGTAATTCGACCAGGTGGCCCTACCGAGCCTCAATATCTTCCAGCAAGAAATTATTCTACAGTTAGACAAGTACAAATGTATCAACAACAACAGCAACAACATCATCATCATCAATCCCTTCACCATCTTCCCGCACCCCATTTAAATACATCATTAAATAACAATTACTTACAACAATCAAATCATTGTAAACCCGAATCCTTTCCTGAACAACCCATCCAACAAACGACTCCCCTCCCAAAGAGTATTAACAATCTCAATAACAATAATAATTCGATCCAGACCAATAACAACGCACCACATTTCGAATATGTTTCGTATGATAGGGTTCAAGATCTATATGAACAAAGAAAAGGACATTTTTATTTCATTCCCGAAGGATTCGAACCCGTTCTGGTTCCTAATGATTCTAAAGCTCAAACCGTGACAAATCTATTGGAAACGTCAAAACCGGTTTCCACGGCTCCAAATGTTTCACGAATGCTTCCAGATACTGACGTTCGTCTTCCATCTTTCGCCTTACCTTGCGGCGTTTCCGGGCCATCCAAGAAAGAAACTGCCCCCAATGGGAAGATTCCTAAAGTGAAGAAACCACCGAGACCACCAAATGCATTCATTCTTTACAGACGAGCGAAGCAACCTACCATCGTCGCACAACATCAAGGCATCACAAATAACGAGGTTTCCAAAGAGATTGGCAAGTTGTGGCATAGCGAACCGATGGAAGTTCGTCTTAAATTCCAAAAGATGGCCGAAGCAGCTAAAGAAGAGCACATGAAAAAATACCCAGAATACCGATATCGTCCAAGAAGACCCCAGGAGAGGAAACGCCGCGTTAACACACGTGAATCGGTCAGCCGAAGGTCATCCCCCCCGGTTTTATCTCATCATCTAACGACGCCAATGGCCGAGAATCCCGAGTACATTCCAAGACGAGTTTCATCAATATCTAGCGATGGAGGTGAAAATGGATATAATGCAAATCCTTCAGTATCAACAATACCAAATCAACCGGTTTATTATGCAAATTCGGAAATAAATTCCCCAACAGATAATTATGAAAATTCATCTATGCCACCACCACCACAATTCACCTCATATTCGCAACAATCAATGAATGATTATTCAGTATTTGAACCTCAGCCACACAATATGTCCAACATTTCGGAAGACGCAATAGAATTCACAGACTTTGAAGATTATAATGATTATAATCAACAAATCGTCTCCTTAATGGGTTCAGCGGATCATCATTATCCTCACCAATATATAACCAAGAATGACTATTAATAATCAAAAACAATTATACACGTTACCTATTGTCCTCTCCCTCCTTCCTTCCTCTTTTTTTTGCGCCTTTTGGCGTTGTCATCTAGAATATTCGTTGTTTGCGCCGATTCCTAGATAGATTTATTTATGTCGTTAATATTTATCGCGTATTTGTAAAATTTTGTCGATAAAAAAATTATACATCGTGCTTTTTTTTTTATCTTTGTTTTTTTCCCCCTAGTCTTTTCGCCGAGACATTCGATAATTTAAACTTTTCATTATTTCGATTCATTTCTCTCGTATCACACCGCTTTAAAAATAACATCTCTACGTGTTCTTTATCATTTAAGGTAAAGTTACAAATTGAATTAAATGTAATTTTCCAACCAAATCTGCCTTACAAAATTTCCCAACACAGATCAAAAAGATTTAAGCGTTTTGACGTGCTGTTTATAGTATGGAGAGATTTCTTAAAAACAACAAAAAATCAATAATATAAAAAAAAAATCTATGACATGAATTATTTATATATTTCTTCCCCTTCCTACGCTTTCATTTCTCCAATTCGATTTACTGAAAAAAAAATTTTTTTTTAATGCCCTTTTTTATTATTTAATCATATTTACAGATAAAATATATACGCAATAAGAACTATCACATAAACAGATTTTTTTTTTTAAAAAAAAAAAATTCGATTTAATTAATATACTGGGAATTATTCATCTTTTTTTCCTTTAGCTTAGTATTTTTTAATTTTATTATTTTCAATTTCTTTCCTCTGTGAATATAACATTCTTAGCATCTCATGCATTTTTTTACTTCGGAATAGACATGTAAATTTCTTTTCAATATATATATTTTTTCTCCTTTCTTGTTTATTTTTTTTTTATATTTTTTTTCAATTATATAGTACATATAAACCCCCTTTTTTTTTAAAAAAAAAAAAGATAAAATGTACAGATTTTTTATATATATAAAAATTTTTCTTAGTAATTTAGCGATTTTTTCCTTAATAAATTTAAAAAAAAAAAAAAAATTTGCATAAAATAAATAAATAAAAAAAATGATTAATTCTTTACACGCGTAATAAGTTTTATTTTGTAAGAGTGATGGAAAAACATGAAAATATGACTCAACCCATCCCGACCCACATGACGGTTAATTTTCGCAAACCGTTAAAAATCCCATACGAGTTATCGAAAAAGGATTACCATTCTCGGTAAAGTCCGAGTCAATATTTTCAGCCAACTGCGCCGCTTATATGTGTATGACCTAGTTAAATTTCATCGTCCTTTCCCACCAAAACAGTTCTAGAAGTTTTACCTCATTTTCACTAATCTTAATATTTAGGTTTTTATTGGCGCAGATTACAAGAACGGATATAATTTCAATCAAAAAAAAAGATTACATTTGCAAAAATGTAAACAAAAAAAAAATTTCATTTTTGGGGAGTTAAAAAGCGGGAAAGAAATGCCGCCAAACATCAATCGAATTAGACATTCACCTTCGGGAATAAACAATAAACATAAATAACAAATAATATTGCATCAGGTTGGGCGTGAAAAAAAAAGTTGAACCATTCTTTGTGTCACAAATAAAACTAACAGGAAGCTCAGTGCGGCGATTACCCGCAGCGATTACATAAATTTATCATTTTTTAATTTTAATCAGCATTCAATACTCAAAAAAAAAAACTGGTGACATGTGAAAAAAGAAGATATTTAAATAATCTAACCACACCATATCGGATATCGTTAGATATCGTTTACCCCTTTCTGGGATATCAGACAATTTGACAGATCACCGAATTGACCAGACTCATCTCAAATCCTTTTCGCAAAAAAAAAACCTCGTGAAAATTTTCAAAAAAAAAAGGCACTTTTGATTTTGGGTAATTCTGTATGAATGACCAAATATGATACCTGTGATACGTGGAAAATTGAGTCCAAGGCCATTTTTGTAACTTTCTCCACAATTGGTGAATATGAGTGGAATGAACAATGGCACATATGGCACATCCGATTTTGTGTCATCATTGATCACAATTACATCATGATTTTCCAATTTGATCAAAAAGAAGAAAAAAAATCGGATATCGCTGATATTTGCATAACGGCCGACCACACCATTTATTTCCTTTTGATTGGGTAATATAAACCAATCCAGTTTTTTTCCAAATGATGCAAACGATGCTTCAAATCCTTTGTTCTTTTTTTTGTTGTTTGTTGCGAAAATTATAATTTTCAATTCAAAGTTGTTGAAATTTCATGTGTTTATGCCTTGTATACCTTTGTATAAGTCCCACATGATAGAATTTACATAGAAACAAGACGATCATACGTCCAAAAGAATCATTGTGCATTTTCCTTTTTTTTTCAAAATGATTTGTATCAGCCACAAAATTAATTAGGTCGGAGTTGCTGACCTCAATTTATGTGAATAACACAATCAAAGAATTTTCAACCCTTGTCTTAATAACTTGTTTAGTTACTAGTTTTTTTTTTTGAACCACAGTTTATAAATTATTATGGCTGAGTTTTTGAATGAAAACCTAATTCTATTTTAAAACAAAGAACTCTTGTATTGTTATTGTTTTTTGAGAAATTCCTAAACCTTCATCACAATGCAAAAAATCACACCCCATTTTAGTGATAAAACATTATCGACAAACACGAGTGTGTGCTTTGGATTTTTACTTTAACATAAGGAAAAAAAAAAATTTTTTTTTAGGACAATATAAATGAAAATTATCCTTTGTTTTTCTTAAACCTTTTACTATAAAAAAAGATGTTGTGCCTTTTAAACTAAACTCGTTTAGTTTAAAAAAAAAAAAAAAGAACAATAGTAATCAATAAAGTTGAAAGAACTAATGGGACTGATTATTGTTCCCTGTCAAAATTGAACACAACTTGTAAATATTAAACACTTTTAACAATGATATATTACTCGTAATGATAAGAATCATTGATCATTTAAGAAAATCTTAATTTAGGAAATCATCATGTTATCTATTTATCAGTCAAAACGGCTATTTAGATAGGGATGCTTGTACCTGAATCTTGTGCATTTTTTTTCTTTTCTTTCTTTTATCGGAGTAAATTAAAAAAAAATGAAGATATACCAAATAAAGGGAACAAAAGGAAAGAATAATAAAGTGATAAGAAAAAAAAAGCTGCAGTCAATGCCGGATTACATATCTATATTGAACGCGTTGTTTATCTCACATTATTTAGAGAATTTATAAGTGTATATACAGTATATATTTATCTCTCATAGAACATTCTATCCAAAACCTTTATTACGAGATGAAAGACAGTACATAAAGTTTTCAATCCCTTGCAGCATCTCAGCCCACGATAAAAAAAGGTTCATTAAATGAATATATCACCATTCAATTTTACGCGTGTACGATGTGAAACGAGTGAGTGATAATAGGCTTATCTGTGCAATCAAGTATAATTGAACTTTACGCGTTACAGTTTAAAGCATTATAACAACTTGACTTATTAAACCCCTAAAAGGAGGTGTCATCTTTTCATTAAACTACCCAGCCTCTAACCCATGTTTATAAGGCGCGGAAAAAACTCTAAGTGGCTTAGCCCTAATATCTGAAGATTTACTATATGGCGTTGGTTTTCTTATTGATCGATTATCTCGGAAACTAACGTGTACATAGCACAGTACACAATATTTCACATTGAAACAAACAAACAAACATGCATCAAAGAGATACTCTTTTATGATTATTATTAATCATTTCTTGATGGGGATTTCTTGGGAACCCTGATCAAGTATGTTATCAATTACGGTAATATTAATTATTTGATAAGATTATTTTATTTATTTATTTGACGGAGGTTTCCGAAATTTCCATAAAAAAAAAGAGGATTAATTAATGTTGTGGGTGTGAATTTTTTTTTTATCGTTCCATGAGTTCCTCCATAAGCCTTCATTACGTGATTACAAACCTTACGTAACAATTCTCATAACGAAACTGAAACGTCTTTTATCATAAAATTTGGTAATTATTTAGAAGGTTTTTGTTTTACAGGTCATTCTTTTTTTCGATTTTCTGTGCTCATTATAATAGAATTCTCACGCACGTTCACACACACATAAAAAGGGAGCTCAAGACAAGCACTTGTATTGTAAATATTTTTTAATTTAAACCGTTTTGAGCTTTTCATTCTTTGTATTTAATTATTAAATCTATTACCCAAAACATGTTATGTTTATTTTTAAAAAGATTTCATTAGTTAAAACTAAAGCATGTGTTGGATTGTTAACAAATCTTATTTGTCCTCCTCAAATTTCCCCACAAATTACCAAATTAGGTTTAATGCCGAATTTGACAGAAAGTTTGATTCATTAATTACCATTGGAAATTTACTATTTTAAGATGATAAAATGAATGAACAATAATGGGGGGTTTTTTTTGATTGTTCCGTAATTTTGGGAAAAAATTGCCCCTTACAATATGATTTTCCTTCCCTTTGTCTTTTTGATTTTTTTTTGTAGAGAAAAGGGAATAGTGTTTCTTCTAATCAATTTACGCAATTTGTTGATCCATCAATGAACCCTTTGAGAAAATAAGAAACTTTTTTTAGCCTAATCAATTGATATGGAAAAAAAGGTTTTTTAATGATAATCAATACTCTATCATTTTGCATTAACAAAACGTTCAATACAATTAAACAATATTCTTGAGGAGGAGGGGATAAAAACAATGATACAGAATATCCTTACGTTGCATATAACCCATTCGTTATTTATTATACGACGTCAACATACATCTAAACCTTAATTTGTAGCATAAATCTTAGGTAAGGTTCTAAAAATTTGTAATAATGCATATTTTTTTTTTTGTTTTTTTTTTTTTTTAAAAAAAAGCTTGTTTTTAATGGTATAATATTGTTTATATGTTTATTATATGCGAATGATGTTCTTAAAGATTTGTCATTCGAAGGTCCAATTTTTTTTTTGCAGTGATTACGAAAAGAAAAAACGCCCATATTGGTTTGAATTAAGGTCAAAAAAAATTTTTTTTTTATCAAAGGAAAATATACAAGGGTTGGTTGACTGTAACTAAATAAGGGTGTAAAAGTATTTTTTTCTGCTCAACAAATTTGATTGTTTAAATGTATATTAATAATATTTTTTGTCAAACCCGATTAAGTAAAAAATTTTATTGTTGAAAAAAACTCATTTTTTAATTAATGTGTTACATGTCAAATTACTTTCGGGAATTTTCAAAAAAAAAAAAAACCTGTCAAAAAATGTAATATTTTACAATGCTTTATTACCGATATCGTGGATGACTACACCTTTTTTTTACTAGAATACAAAGTTCCCGGATACTAAGATACTAAGAATGCTATGTTAATGTTTCGAAGTCGGATATTAAAATTGTGTAACCGGAGTAAAATGTATAGTTAAAATATTTTTTATTTGGAGATTGTAAATTACGTCATAACGCTTGTCAAATAGCATACATACATATACTATTTTTTGTTCCTGTAATGTCTTCAAGGTACAGTAAGTTATATCTTTTTTGCGAGGTTTTAGAAGGAACTTTGCTCGTTTCCTTTGCAAACTTTGTTATTGCCTTAAATTTGTCAACCAAGTTTCAGCGGGATTTTTCGAGAATTCAATATTTTCAATATTTTCACAATTTATAATGTTTCACATAGAAACCTTTTCTCCTTAATAATTTCCAATTATAAAACCATGAATTTTAAACAAATCAATTTCACTTCCTCTTAAAACGAGAATGGTTTAGAAAGTATCTTAATAAATAAATCTTTTTTATTGTGTAGTGTACCATTTCATTTCTTTGTGTATTGAATTCATTTGCTGGGAATTCAATGCCCTTATAATATCCTTCGACCGACCAAAGCAATAGCATTTTGACAAAAGTTGTATTCGACACTATATAGAATATATCATAAGTAGCAACTATAATTAAAGATATTTAAATATTGATATCAATGATAACGTAATGTTATGGAAGAGTCGAAAAATTTTTTAACATAGGATTTAAATATTGATGGTATGACGATATACAAATTCAAAATTGATCATGAGAAAGGAGAGGGAACTACTTTATTTTTACAAGATGGAAATGGTTTTGAAAAAAAATATATTTCATCAAGATTTCAAACAAAGAAATCTAATAAAAAAAAAATCTGATTGGGCAACTATTCGTTAATTCAAAGTTGGTGAATTTAACAATTTTTATTATTCATCTTGTATTTAATGTATATAATAATCTACAATTTTTATTTTTCTATCTACGTGCATATAACGTGCACATGCACTTGGAGAGATTTGACAAGCAATTTAATTTTAATGCTTTTGTCTGTAATTGATGTAAAAAGATCACACTATATATATAGCATTGTAAAATATCGGATTAAATTTTACAAATGTTTCAATATTAAAGAATAAATTATTCCTTCGCGATATTAAAAGAAGCCCATCCGATATTTGAAACCTAATATAATCCAGAATTTTAAATACAATAAAATAACGATCCAAATAATAATAATTATTAAATTGATCTCAATAAAGATTTGGGAAATAAATTAAAACTATTAAATAAAGTACCTATCTATATGAGATTTACACAAAATATTAACAATATAATTAATTCTAAACTCTTAACCGGTTTTCTATATCCTGTCTTGCTGCCTCGATCATCTTATCAGATTCTTCCTTGCTAGCATTATGTCGCAAAACATTGGATTGATTGAAAGGATTCTCTGGTGATTTCTTTTTGATTTCACGAGAAATATATTTTTTTATTAGTTAATTTTTTAAAATAAATAATTATAAAATTAAATTAATTAATCAACTTACTTTAAAGTTCTCGAAAAGAATATTATGTAATTGAGTATAACGCAATCCAGGATTATCTTCTTTAAGTTTTAAAATCTCTCGTTCCTCATACGCTCGAAAAGCAGCCTATAATAATATAACATAAATAAGGATTCCTTTTAATAAAAGTAACCATTTACGTCTACACACCTTAAACCTTCTTTCCGGATGCCTTTCAATGTTGGCAGCACTCATTGGTACGCTATTTGATAATCCCGTTTTACCGACACCTGGGGAACTTGAGGTCTCTGTGGCAATAGCTAGCAAATCCAAAGCATCATCTATATTTGATGCAGTGTATACAGGAATTTCCCTTCGTTCTGTGGATTCTTGTTCAACTTTTTGAGATCTTTTGATTGCTTTTTTCTATAATTAATAGATAAATAAATACAAAAAAAAATTATAATTCATAAAAAATAAAAGCAACGTACATCTTCACCCGATTTCTTTGTTGGTTTTAATAAAGGTTTGATTTGTGATAATTCCTTTTCTTCCTGCTCCAATAATCTCGCTGCTTCATTTTTCTTTGCCAATTGTGCTTCCTATAATTCGAATTATATTATTATCTTTTTATGAATAAATTAATTGTTATGCAGTATTAGAAAAAAAAATCGCCTTACTTTTTTTAGCCTTTGAGCTTCTTTTTTAGAAGCGTCTTTTGCACCTACTGACCATTCTTCAGTTTCCTTCTGATCTTTTTCAGCTTGTTTTTTAGAATTTATCTCTTTTTGATGTAAGGTTTTTCGTTCCTTTGCCGCGGTAACTATTAGAATTTTTTTTTACAATCAGGCAAAAAGACTGTAATTATCTTTTAATTATTAACTATAAATATAATTAATACCTTTAGTGTTTTCTCCTTTGAATTTTTTTGGCATGTTTAAAAAAAGCAATGAACATTTTTTTTTTTTAATTTTTTTTGATACAGGAAATTTAAAAAAAAAAATTTTAAAAACGCCTAAATTAGACTAATAAGACTAGATTTCTAATTATCCAATAGATTTCGTATAAAAAATCATTTGGAAATTTTCAAAATATTTAAATAAATTAATTAATTATATTGATTAAAAAAAAGTAAAATTTAGAGAAAAATAATAAAATTATAAATTAATTGAATATTATTAATTTATTTAATATATTATTTACAATTTTAACTGCTAAATATTTTTATATTTTCTTAAATAAGGTTAGGTATGATCCCTTTTACCAATTTTAATGAATATTTTGTGTTAAGAGTATGATTAGATGCATTCTTTAAAATGAAGAATTAGATAAAATCTAAAATATTTCATTAAAACTTATTAATCTGCCAATTAATATGATTGTTAAATATTTTACTAAAGCTATTAATAAAATTGTTTAAATAATTTTTAAATCCTGAAATTATTAATATAACTTATAAATTCGGTTTTATTACTTTAAAAATCAAACTATATAAAAAGTGATTTTTATTATTCTAGATAAAAAATACTTATATAGTATTCATAAATCTGAAATTAAAACCTAAAAGTCAAAATAAAAGTCAAAATAGCCAAAATCAAGTCATTATATCACATGATTTATTATATATAAAAATCTAAAAAAAAACAAAATTTATATGATTTTACCTAATATTACTCTATGACTTAAGAAATAACTATTATTTAATTAGAATAATTAATTAGATCCACTAATTTACCTCAAGTTTTGATTAGTTGGTAAATTAACTATACATGTTCAGAAGGTAATAAATAAATATCACAACTCAAAAAATCCTAAGTTTCTTAGATACTTACAGCTAATTTTATAATTTGTGAACTACAATTAAAAAATTATTAATGATTCATGAATTATGAAATTAGCTATAATAAAATTAAAATACTATTGGTATTAATTATACTAATGATAAATCATCTAAGCTTTAATTCTAACACTAACCTTAATTCTAACTAATTCTAACTAATATCAATTATATTACCCAATCAAAACTTGGAAATAAATTAGTAAATTTGATTAAACAAATTCAATCATTGATTTATTTTTTTAAAAAATACAATAATACAATTATTTTTATAAAAGTTAAAAATTTAAATTCAATAAAACAAATATATAAAAATTCTATAAAAGATATATAGTAAAAAATGCAGCTTAATAAAATAAATTAATTCTAATAAAACTAACTGATTATTTTATCAGGCTTTTAATAATAATTACTAGTAAAATTACTAATTAAATTAAATTAGAAAAAAAGTTTGATAAAGAATTATTACTATAATAAAAAAATGCATTTATAATCATATACATATAAATTTATTATTAATGATAAGTTATCATATTTTTTTTATGGAAGTAACAGAAAGAAAGTATTAATATAAATAATTATGAATAATAAAACTATCATTTTATATTTAGAAATATTAAAAAATTATTTTTTTTATATAGTAGTTTTATATTATAATTTCTATACAAATTTATAAGTTTGATCAAATATAAATTATAAAAAAAAGAAAGGATTTTGATATTTGTTGAAAATAAGTTTATAAAAATTAATAAATTTAAGATAAGTAAAAGAAATAATATCTTGATAAAATCAATAAAAGTAATATTAAGAGGATCAGTTTTAAGAGTTAAAAGAGTTAAAAGAAACATAATACAGAAATTTTGAATAAATAATCAGATTTTAAAGTTTAAATAAACAATTATTGTTTAAGAATTTATAATACATTTATAATGATTTATTTTATAGTAGATTTAATATAAGTATTGTTAACGTGTAATTCTTGCGAACTACAACTGTTAGACGGGGTGTCTAAGTGTTATTTCTTTTTAATAGGCGCAGTAATCTCAAAGCTTTTACAAGTTTATTATCACGGCTAAATCCAAGTAAAGGTTTCAAGTCAGGGTTTATATGAGTATTTCACAGTCAATAATTCACGAAGTATCGAGTAATTATATTTTCAAGTAAGATGTTTATTGATAAGAATAGAAATAGAAATAAGGAAAAGAAAAGAAAAGAAATGAAGTATGAAACTATAATGTAATACGATAGGCCTGTTTGCCTCTTAAAAACTACTAAAAACTGACTTATCAAATCCTACCTTTTTACATGGTCTAAAAAGCTGTCTATTTATATAAAATACAGTATATAGAAAGATATAACTAATATATCTAATTTATCGTATATGTCAAATATGTCCGATATGTCATATATGTCAAATCTGTCTAATATATCTTATTTGTCAATCATATCAGATATATCATATATGTCAGACATATCAGAAATGTCAGATTTGTTTGATTTGTCAGATCTGTCAGATTTGTTGATCATCTGCGTCACGTAGGTCCTATCATATTTTATTCGTTCACAATATCATAGTTTTTTTACTAATCTGATTAACCTGATCACTTGTTAGACTAACCCGATCACTTGCCGGACTAACCTGATCACTTGTTAGACTAATCTGCTTATTACACATATTTTTAACTTCAGGTGTCTTTTAAGAATAGAGGGATATTGGAACTCCTTTTTACAATACTGACATGTCCGATCATTCAGTTTTTTTTATAGGTTTTGATTTCTTCCTAACAGTAAAGATATTATGTTGAGATTTGTGAACTGATAAGGGAATGGTAATCGTCTTTCCATTATGTGGCTTTAAATTCTCCTTTTATTAAAGGCTCCCATCCAGCTTGATATTGCCATTGAGTACCAAGAATTACTAAAGATTTAGC